ATCGTAAATGCGCTCTTCCTCTGTTGGGGTGGGATAAGGACAAAACATGTGTTTGGCACTTGTTCTTCTTCTTACATATATGTATGCAACTTCCCTTTAAAAATCGAAAACTTCCATTTGTATTTTTTAATAAAAATATAAAAATAAAAGAAAAAGGAGAATTTGGATTTGGCTGAGATGGTCAAAGACGCGTTTATTGGCTTCATTCATTATCTAACTCTAGATTAGTGGTCTTTCTTTAGCCATTAAATCAGATTTGATGTAAACTAATTAAGTATTGTTTTTCCTATACATAAAGGAAGAGAATTAATATTTCATACGTTTTATTTACTTATTTCAGACGTGGAATAGTGTTATTAATAATCATTGTCATAACACATTCAACGACGATATGATTCCAGTTATTGACCAAAAAGTTCTTTCATTTTCCACTGAAGGAGAAGACAGGGCCTCAACCAAACTCCTCTGAAATATATATATATATATATATATGTATGCAGTTGTACGAGTCTCTCCCAAGTCAAAGATTCCACGAATTTGATATAAAAATACAAAGAAATATATAAAAAGTGGTGTGTGTGTGAATGTATATTCGACTTTAATGCAACTTGGATGAAATCCATCCTTATCCTACGCTTGCTGCTCCTTGTTTTCACACCCCGTGACTATACAACCCATGCTTCCTTCGATATAGGCACGTGGTGTGTGTATAAATATACACTCTCTTTGATTAAGAGTTCATGACCTGTTTTTCAATTCTCTGAACCAAAAAAAAAAAAAAAACATGGCATCACTCTCAGAAACAATTCTGATCATCGTCTTCATCATGTTCATCTGCTCCGGTGTTTCATTGGCTAAACAGAGCATCTTCAAATCCGAACTTGAAGCTTTGGTTTCCTTCAAGAATGGCGTTTCCAGTGACCCATTGGGAGTTTTCTCAGATTGGACCAGTTCTGTCCGCCATTGCAACTGGACTGGCATCACCTGCGACCGCTTCGGCCACGTTGTCTCCATTTTCTTGCAGGAGAAGCAACTCCAAGGCGCTTTATCTCCCACTATCGGAAATATCTCGAAACTCCAGGTTCTTGATCTTACTTCCAACTCGTTTTCAGGAAAAATCCCGACAGAAATCGGGAAACTGACCGAGCTTAATGAGCTCGTTCTTTACCTCAATTCGTTTTCGGGTTCCATCCCCTCTCAGATAGGGAATCTTGAGAATATAGTGTACCTTGATCTGAGGAATAACTTGTTGGACGGTAGTATTCCTGAAGAAGTCTGCAACTGCAGATCACTGGTAGACTTTGGAATTGGAAACAACAACTTGACCGGGAAAATACCAGAATGCATAGGAGATTTGGATAATCTCCAGGTGTTTATAGCGGACGGAAACAGTTTAACTGGTTCAGTTCCGGCCTCAATCGGTAATTTGGTTAATATGACAACGTTAGACCTGAGTGGTAACCGATTAACCGGGAAAATACCAAGAGAGATGGGAAACCTTTCAAACTTACAGGTTCTGGGCTTGATTGGTAACTTGTTGGAAGGAGAAATACCGGCTGAGATTGGAAACTGCACGAATCTGATCGAGCTTGAGCTTTATGATAATCAGTTAACCGGACGTATACCGACTGAGCTCGGGAATTTAGTTCAGCTGCAGATGCTGCGTTTGCATGGCAACAAACTGAATTCCACAATCCCTCATTCATTGTTCAGGTTAACGTTGTTAACCCATCTGGGATTGTCAGAGAATCAGCTGGTTGGACCGATACCCGAAGAAATAGGATCACTGAAATCACTTGAAGTCCTCACACTTCATTCCAACAACTTAACTGGGAAATTCCCCCTGTCAATAACAAACATGAGGAACTTGTCGATAGTGACGATGGGGTCTAATTCAATTTCAGGAGAGCTTCCGGAAAATCTAGGGATTCTTACCAACCTTAGGAATCTTTCTTCGAACAACAATCATCTCACGGGGCCAATACCCTCCAGCATAAGTAACTGCACCAGTCTTAAAGTTCTGGACTTGTCATTTAATCAGATGACTGGTGAAATCCCGGTGGGTTTAGGACGGATGAATCTGACATTGCTTTCTCTCGGGCCAAATCATTTCACAGGCGAAATCCCAGATGATATCTTCAACTGTACAAACCTAGAAGTTCTTAATTTGGCCGAAAACAACTTCACAGGAACGCTCAAGCCTTTCCTTGGGAAACTTCAGAAGCTCCGAATATTTCAAGTGTCATATAATTCATTAGGAGGGCCGATTCCCAAGGAAATAGGGAATCTAGCACAGGTGAACCTGTTGTATCTTCATGGGAATCATTTCACGGGAAGAATCCCGAGGGAGATATCAAAGCTCACCATCCTCCAGGGAATCACACTGCATATGAATGATATTGAAGGGCCAATTCCTGAAGAAATGTTCAACATGAAGCAACTAACAAAGCTTGATTTGTCCAGGAACAAGTTTTCAGGTCCAATTCCAGACTTGATCTCAAAACTCGACTCACTTTCCTACCTGAATCTTCACGGAAACAAGTTTAACGAGTCGATCCCCGCAAGCCTGACATCTCTCACGCGACTCACATCCTTAGATATCTCCCACAATCTTCTCGCGGGAACCATACCCCCACAGGTGATCGCTTCCATGAGAAACGTACAGCTCTACCTCAATTTTTCTCACAATTTCTTGACTGGAACCATTTCTGAGCTTGGAATGCTTGAAATGGTTCAAGAAATTGACTTTTCAAACAATCTCTTCTCCGGGTCTATTCCAACATCTCTCAGGGGCTGCAAAAATGTAATCTTTCTTGATTTCTCCCAGAACAATCTTTCCGGAGGGATTCCAGATGAAGTCTTCAAACAAGGCGGCATGGAAATGATCAGAGATTTGAACCTTTCTGGCAACCATTTATCTGGTGGGATCCCCGAAAGCATTGGCAACATGACGCATTTAGTCACTCTGGATCTCTCTCGGAACAACCTTACAGGTGAAATTCCAGAGAGTCTCGCCAGTCTTCCCAGTTTAAAATATGTCAACCTTTCTTCCAACCACCTCAAAGGCCATGTTCCGGAAGCTGGTGTGTTCAAAAACATCGATGTGTCTGACCTGATGGGAAATGCAGATCTTTGTGGCAGCAATAAATATCTGAAGCCATGTAAGACCAAAAGGAACTCGACCCACTTCTCAAAAAAAACTGCAATCGTGCTCATTGTGCTTGGATCAGTCTCAGTTCTCCTTCTGGTATTCTTGCTGGTTCTGGTGCTTACCCGTTGCAGAAAAACGGAGAAGACAAAAACTTCAGAGTCTCCATTGCCGGATTTGGATTCAACATTGAAGCTGAAGAGATACGATCCAAAGGAGTTAGAAACAGCAACAAATTCCTTCAACAGTGCCAACATAATCGGTTCAAGCAGCTTAAGCACAGTGTACAAAGGTGAATTAGAGGACGGAACAGTAATCGCAGTAAAAGTATTGAATCTGAAGCAATTCTCCGGAGAATCAGACAAATGTTTCTACAGAGAAGCAAAAACACTGAGCCAGCTAAAGCATCGGAACCTGGTGAAAATCTTAGGGTTTGCTTGGGAAAGCGGCAAAATGAAAGCGTTGGTTCTTCCTTACATGGTTAACGGAAGCCTGGAGAAAGCGATCCACGGATCGACGATCGGGACGCTGTCGGAGAGAATCGATCGGTGTATAGAGATGGCGAGCGGGATCGATTATCTGCATTCTGGGTACGGCGTCTCGATCGTTCACTGCGATCTGAAGCCGGCGAACATACTCTTGGACGGTGATCGAATCGCTCACGTGAGCGACTTCGGGACTGCTCGGATCCTGGGTGTTTGTGAAGATGGAAGCGTCACTGCTTCTTCTTTTGCCTTCGAAGGAACCATCGGATACTTGGCTCCAGGTATAATCCCAATTCCACCATTAATTAATAAATTAATGGATATCTATTTAGCATATTTGTTTATCATAATTATGTTTTTTGTGTTTGTGGCGCAAGAAACCTGTTTTTCACTTCGTTTACTGGCATGTCAGAATTCGCGTACATGGGGAGAGTGACGACAAAGGCCGATGTGTTCAGCTTTGGGGTAATAATGATGGAGCTTCTGACGAAACGGAGGCCGACAGGAGTGATCGATGATGGAACACCCGGACCGACTCTGCGTCAGTTTGTGGAGAAATCACTCGCAGAGGGAGCAGAGGAGATGGTCAGGGTTCTAGATTCGGATCTCGATTCTTCTCTTGTCGGGAAACAGGAAGAAGCCATTGAAGATCTTTTGAAGCTCTGTTTGTTCTGTACTAGTTCCAGACCGGAAGACCGGCCCGACATGAACGAGGTTCTCACTTATCTGATGAAGGTTAAGGGGAACATGCCTTCAGAGTTTGGTGAGATTGTATAAAGAGATCATCATTGTCTTAGATTGAGCCGATGGACAAGCACAGTACAATTCGTGAGAGATTTACATTTTTATATTTCAAAAGGTGATACATAAACATGCAAATGTTTATACATATGGTTTTGCATGAGATATTGAAGCAATCACTGAACATTGTGAAAGTCGTCCTGCATCTCTAAACATTTCCGAGTAAGAAGATTTACATTTTTATCTGTCTTGTTGTCTTCTTCTTCCTCACGGTTTCTGTCACTTGCCTTGGAGGTTTTGTCGTCGAGGTAATGCTGATAGACAAATGAAACGAAGCCCCAGCCAGCCAAAACCATGGAGATAACCTTTAACCCATCCATCTTATCATGGAAAACGATCACCGCCAGAATCGGCACAATAGGCAATCCCACGGCAGTTATGGCGTTGGAGAACACAGATGATGACTCGAATATCAATCCCACGACACCAACCGTGAAAACTTGCCAGGAAATAGCCGTCCAGACCAAGGTCATGACGTAAGACACCTTCCCCGGTCTGTAGCTTTGCATCTCTCCAGCGAGAGTTCTCCACTCTCCACTAGCGAAAAGCCCTACCAGAACTAGACAAGTAGCAACCAGGGACTGGTAGATCACCATGCCTATGACTACTGAGAAAGTACTCTGCTTTAAAACTTTCCGGAGGATCAGCTGCACCAGAGAGAACAGCAATCCATTCCCAGCTGAGGCGCCGACTGTGCAGAGAAACCCGATTGCGTATTTCCCCTTGGAGACTTTTTCTGCGTTTTCTGACTCGCCGTTGAAGACGAGGAGGGTAGAGGAGATGGTAAGAAGAAACAGAGAATTCAAGATGAAAGGAGTGAACTTTTGCGAGTTGAGGAAATACGAGAAGAAGGCGGTGAAGGCCAACTGTGAAGCGGAGATGAGGGAGTAAGTAGAGACGGGCAAGTAGAGCAACCCGTAAGAGGACAGATAACAGTTAGCTGATGCCAACAGGCCGATGCCCATGTAAACTGGTCCAATGGTGATGAACGTTAATGGCATGGAACATGCCGTTTCGGGTTGTCTGATGCGTGAAAAGAGGCTGAACAGAAACAGGATAGGGAAACCGATGAGCTGAACTAGGGTTCCCATCCACTTGCTCTTCCCACCATTTTGATAGTAGAGTCTGCCTAAAAGAGTTGCTATTGCCTGGAAAGAGAGGACAAAGAATGCATACAGAGAGATACGGAGCCAGCGTTTGTACTTCTTCCATGGAGGTACGGATGGTTGACTTCCCATGGAGATGTTCTCTTCTTCCTCCTCCTTCTCCTGATCGGTTCTGAATGCTTCTAATTCATGATGAACTGTAATTAACATCAAATACAGATCATTATCTTACAAAACCGTGAAGTTCTCAGTGTTACTGAAATTATTGATATGATGAAAAAGAAGAGAAGACACTTGCTTACCTTGGACTTGGATAGTCTGAGACCCTTCCATGGCGGATCTTGAGAGGACTTCCAAGAAGATTTGAAGTCAATCTCATGCGAACAGAGAGATGAAATGGAAAGATGTGGGGATATTTATTTGTTGTTTAAGATTGCCAATCAACTCTGCAAGTTGCACTTTAGAAAAGAAATGATTGCTTTACTTTTCCTTACCATGGTGGTTAGATCAGTTCAACAACTCCTTTTAACTTTCACCACTCACCTTTTACCAAAAATAAAAAAAAAACTTTCATCACTGTGACAGTTTCTATCTGTATATATACATGACTCATGTGTTTCAACTTGTACTCCTAAGCGTTAACTGACTGAAATGCGTAAGAGAAGACCAAAGACCAATTCTGCAGACAAAACCAATCACGAGATTCGTCTTAAATCAGAGGGCTGAGAAGGACTATGAAGCTTGTGATAACCTTAGCTCTATATATGTGTGTGTGACATGACGTACCAAACTTTAATGAGTGAAGGGTAATATTTGGAAATTAATTTTCCAAAACATCAAATCGATCAAAGGCCTTTGCTGTGACAACATGAAATAGAAAAAGGTAAGCTTTTGTACAAACGTCAAACCTCACTACCCAAATTTCTCCTCCACTCCACCACCACCACCACCATCATGGGCGTCGTCATCATCATCATCATAGTGGAGGGTGAGGTGATGAATTGGGATGTGGTGAAGTACAACTAAACCAATCAGTACCAGGGAAAACTGAAGACAACACTGGTTCAATAAACAAAAACGTACAGGGGAGGATCATTGGGGGGTGGTCTCCACGAGATCCAAGAGCGTAATCTTGCCATTGTTGCTCTTGTCGAGCTTGTCAAACTGGCTCGATATCGGTCCTATGTCCTTTTCGCTTATCTTCTCCATCTCCTTCAGCTTATATATCACATACTCCGCTTTGCTGCAACCCAAAAAAAAAAAAAACAGACTGAAATGTTTTGAAACACCCAACAGACATAGCAACAAAAACTTCACATCCTCGTCGTACAGAAACAGAGAACGCCAAAAAAGATGTCATAACAACGACCAGAGAGCTCTCTGACCATGGATCAAGTTGTGAATGAACAAGCAAATCACAGTATCTAATCTATCTTTCATTATCTAAAGCAGATATGGTATGTCAATTCCGAAAAGTATCGGGGGGAGAAGGCAAAAAGTGTAGGTACGGTATGATCCATATTAACCTAAAGAGCATCAGGTTAGCAAATGGATAGCAGAAGGTGCCGGTCAATTACCTCACGCAGCCATTGTGGTCAATATCTGCAGCAAAAAACTGAGAAACTGTCATGTGCTCACGAAGAACTCTCTTTACTCGCTCCCTACTCCTCTTATCGACCCTCAACTCAGCCAAGTACAAAAACGCTCGGGCCACCGCTAACGTGGACACTAGCAGCCACACTGCGGCAAAAAGCCTACCGGGCAATGTCTTGAAGGCATGATCCCCATACCCAACTGTCGTAACCGACATAACTGACAGATAAAAGGAATCCAGCCATCCTAGTTTCTCAATGAAATGCATAACCCCAACACCAAATCCGATACATAGCACCACAACCACTAAGGCTAATGCCACTTTCAACCGAATTCTCATTCTCCCTTTCTTCACATCGATTATGTAAGATCTAACCTTGTGTGGCTCGTCCCCTGGCTTCACAGCATTCAACATATAGCTTTCTTGCAGGTCAAGAACATTTATAACTATCCCAGAAAGCCAGATATCGATGAATCCAAACCCGACAAGAACAAACAAGATTGAAAACAGCTTCGTGGCGGTGCTGTTTGGCGTGATGTCGCCATAGCCGATGGTGCACATCGTCACGATACAGAAATATAAGGCGTCGACAACGGGATGGGTCTGGTTAACTACGTATTTGTCACGAGTGAACCAATATATGAGCACCCCCAACGTTAGATACACCACGAGCAGAGCAAAAGCTTGTCTTACCAAGGATCGTGAATCGGATTTTTTCCGGGTTTCTCCAACTGGGTGACTCAAATCGTTGATGACGGCCATCGCCGGAGCGGTTTTGGACCGATGAAGAGGGTGACCGTTGCCCCATTTGTAGTTCGGCTCGAACAACGACGATTCGGGTTGCGACGGCAGTGGACCGAGGAGCGGCTCGACGGCGGAGGAGTCGGAGAAGGATGTGGTGGCGGAGGACGACGGCGAGAGTCTCTGAGAGAGGGCATCGAAGAGCGAAGACAAATCGCGCGGGGAGCGAGGGGAAGGACCGTAGACTAACCGGTCTTTGAACTCGGATGGAGTCATCGGCATCGGAATCGCGACCTCGTCGTCCTCCGGCAAGGGAAACAGCTGCGGAGGAGTTTTCTTCCTAGGGCTAATCATGTATTGCAGAAACGGCTCTATGCTATTGCCGTCACTCGCCATCTGGGCCGTCGTCGGAATACCAGAAACAGAAACCAGGAACCGCGAGTGGTTTACCGATGAACTACCGATTGAAACGGGTCGTTGTGCTGTGTTGCTCTTCGCTTGGCGGCCCACGCGCCTGAAGAGACGAAGCAAGCGGTGGTGCGAAAAAAGAGGAGAAAGGGAAGAAACTTTCAACAGTAGCCGACCAGGGGAAGGAAAAAAACCTTTTTTTCCGGCCGAAGAAGACGCAGAAAATGGCGCAAAAATCGAAACTTTTGTGAAGACGAAGGTAAATGATTAGCAAAAGAATGGTTCATGTCAAATTAACCTGAGTTTATAATAACATATAGAATATGGTGTTTTAATATTTGTTCACACTAACATGATCAGATTTGCATTGGACCGTTTAAAAACCTTTGTATTATGATAAATTCAAATGCAATACGACTAATACTTTAATATTATGTAGATTAGTAATTACAACCTGTTGACTTTGGTTTCATGTATTGACAATAATGGAATGGTCACATAATTTGTGATACACTTACGATTTACAACCCGATAGGGACACCGACATTAAGCCGGATGCGATGCGATGTCCACCTTTTGAATCATTTCATCTGGTCGAGGAAGATAAACGGCACGATGTGTCGTTTTCGTCTCTCCACATGACGTGATTTTTTATATTGTATAATTTATTTATTTTCGTCTTTTGCAGAGCTTTCCACATAACGTGGAAGGCGTAAGACGGTCACCCCAATTGATAAAATACCAAAATTAAGACTTTTCTAGTTTTTGGAACTGCTTATTATTAATCTGACCATAATTATTCAACATTAAAAGTGTAGAATTGGAGGGGTCGCACGTCGTTTATTTTAGAGTGTAAATGTTACCGTTGGGATGATCTCACATATTTGAGTTGACTAATTAAAAAAATTGGAATTCATAATATTATTATTCTGAATGATTCAATTTATATATATATTTATATTTATAAAATGTTATGGTGTCTTTCTTACAATAATTATGTTAGGTTCGTCTAATCATGTAATGTTTGTCCTTCTTAACTAATTTTTGCTAACAGTGCATTTGGCACAATAAGCTGTGGCCGAGCAATGAGGAAGTTGGTGCACGCGCATGTGAAATTTATATAATCGGCAATAAGAAAACAAACACATACCATCTTGAATCAAGCAAGAAAACAAAATTATCCTCAAAATTATGACTGAATAATTAGAATAGGGGCTGGATGCTTCCATTCCTTCATCTCCTCCATCGTCTCTGATGAAAAATTTTGTTGTTTTTTTCCCAAGATAGAAACATTTGACAGCAGAATGACGATTGAAGCATTGGTCGTAGAGATACTAAATCAACAAACTTTCTGAGTTTCGACAAAGGGGAAAAAAAATCCAAGTATAGTACCGAGTAATTAAGGTTAGCGAGCAAAGCCATCGCCTTTTCACCCGGCTGGGGTTTGATCAGTAGCCCGGCTGCCATGGCTGTTGGGTCTGCTTAGAAGAGTCAGTTGGGTTTAGTTGGAGATGGTTATGGTTATGGCCCATTGGCATGGCTCCTTGTGAGTGGTAGTGGCTCAGGTAACCGTGCTGCAACGGCTGCTGTTGCCCTTGCCGCTGCTGATTCTGACCATGAAACCTATACATGCTGCTTTCCAGCCGCGAGTTCTGTCCTTGAAACCATGTCCGTGGGTTCTCGTTCTGACAGAACAGGCAAAGGAACAGGTTTTAAGGTTTCAGAGATGGTTCAACGTCCAGAAGAATTAACACAAGGATTAAATTACTGGTTTATTACCTGTTGAAGTGATGCCAATGCTAGCTGATTACCGTCCCTGAACTGTGAGCCTAAGACATTGTCGTACCTCGACAGGGAATTCACAGCGTTAGAGGGATTCAACGGGATATTATTACCTCCGGGAACAGCGGCGGCTGACTGAGGCAGATTGTTGCTTTTGTAGTGTGGAAGCATAGCGGATAGAGGAGGCTGATGGTAAGTGTTGTTACCCGAAAACGCTTGCTGAAAAGCCGAAGGCATGTAGGTGTAACTCTGAGGTAAGAAAGGATAACCTATCATATTGGCGTAATGTCCCAAAGGCAGCGTCGGCTGAGAGTAAGGGTGCATGGCCAGGGCCGCCGCTGGTCCCATGGCGCCAGGTTCAGTCTGCTGTGTGGAAATACGGGTAGCTCTTAGTGCCTGCGAAATCATGCGTCAGACTGATCCTCGGCATTAATCGAACAAGACAATACAGAGAGTTTAAGATAGAAAAAGGAGTTACATCTGTCATTGGGATGGCTGGACCAGCAAGTGAAGCTGCAGTATTGTTGAAATTTGTAGGCATCGACTGATTCAGAGGGAAGGGCGAGTACTGAAGATCTGATTCCCTCACGTCCCGAATGGTTGACGGTAACAAAGTGCTGGGTAACGAATTTGCATACGCTTGCTGCTGGGGACATGCAAAAACAGAAAGATGACATATAAGCAGAAGAAGTTTCTGAATCTACTGAACACGAGACGTCGAGACCAGCGTCAGAGCCCGTGATCTGACTCTCATCATGAGATTGATTTAGAGAACGGCCGTTAAGATTCGTTTAAATACAAGAGCACAGGTTTGCATTTCAAGGGATAGAAGCACAAGTCATTAGTCATTACCATCACCTCAGGGAAGTCATCAAGATTCTGGATCTGAGGACCTGTTTCTGGAGGAGCCAAGGCCGGATTCAACTGTTGATTACTATCAAAAGCATAATCTGTTGCAGACGAATAATTGTGCTCGTTTTCATGAGCAGGTTCTGGAGTTTCCTGTTTCAACCGCTCTGTCACAGAGTCTGATGCAGAATCGTAATTCCTAGCACTCGAATCAATATGATAAGCCATGTTTCCATCAGGAACATTCCCGAGCCGTTCATCATCTCCATAGAATTCAGAATCTCTGTAAAATGTTCAAGGTAATTGAGATGATAGCAATGGGGCAAACCAGAAAAGGGGGCAAAAAATGATGGCGTACCTGGTGTCTAGAAGTCTGATTGATGAATCATCCGCTGTTTCGGGTATTTCCTCTAAGTTTTTATTCAGGAGCCCTGACGAATGAGCGCCAGGTGAGTCAGACCCCATTCCAGAACCGAAGCTTCCAAACCTCAAGTGCGAGCAATCTGAGGTATGGACTTGCAGGTGATTGGGAATTATTACTGCGGGCTTGTCCTCTTCCGAAAATGCTCCCTGGTTATCATTCTCAATTGATAGATGCTGAATAGTTGTGGCAACATCTTCAGCTGAAAATGAGAAAACAAAAAAGAACACATGACGGTTTTCATAAGATGGATATAACTGGCAGAGCAATGAAAATCCAAAGAGAGTATATCCCACCTCCATCATGCTTAGAAAGATGTCTTTCTGTTTCGTATGGCTCAATGATGTTATTGTTGTCATCATTGTCATACAATGACGAACCTCCAGAGTCATCATCATCATAATCATTCAAGTTTCTACTGGATACTGAAGCAGGCCGAACCTGATCCACAATGGGAGCTCCCACTGGATGAGTTTCTGTTACAGGGTCCTCATCCAACTGGGACTTCATATGGTGATCTGCCCTAACAGAGCCATCACTAAATGGGTCATCGTACAGCTTAGATTCCGTGGGTACTTTCAAGACTGAGGAAGAATAAGCAGCACCCAGCTTCTCAATCGAGGGCCATTCGTCCTTGAGAGGAGCTCTGCTCTCAGTCTCTTTGGATGAATTTGGTGGATCTGAAGAATGAGGAATAACGATATTCGGATGGAGAGGCCTGCCCATCTTCACAATATCAGCCATAGTTCTCTGACCCGGGATAGCAACCCAAGCACGTTGGTGTCTAGAAGAAGCCTGCGAGGATGAAGGAACTGCATCACCTGAGCCCGTTGACAAGCTTGTGTTTTCAGTTCCTTTAGGATCACTGTAAAAAGCAAATAGATATCAAGCAATGTTAATGTTGATAGATAAGAATAAATCAAAGATATTAGCCACTACAAAAAAAAAAAATCTCGAAGGAATATGGCTCACTAGCTCGTCAAGCTGAAATTATACAAGTCTCGGCTGTGCTATTTTGTCACAGAAAAATCATCAATACAACAACAACAACATCGCCTTAATCACATCCTTGTCCAACAGAGTAATATTGAACCTCCAAAACCCTTCAAGACAACCTGATTTCGAATCATCAGAGCCACAGGTTTCATTCCCTCTTCCCTAATTTTCAGAAAATAAGTGACAAGAAGAGGACATGGATAACATTAATATGGAGAGAACCTGCTGAATGGATGTTGGCTCCAAGCAACACCAGAGGTCGAAGATGAGCCAGCCACATGATTACGTGTTCTGTTTTCTCTTTTGTTTGCAGGTTTTGCTAGCAAACCACCCGGTTCTGAACCAAAATCAAAACAAAAAGTTTGTAGAACAACCACCAATACAGATGCAAAGGACAAGTCTCTCATGCAGACACAGAAATTACTTGATATGCATTACAATACCATTTGAGTTAAACTTATGTCCACCACCTCGACCAGCATAATTATCACCACCAGCACTCCTACAACCTCCACGGTTCAGGATGCTACCGGTTCTGCGTGATTGGGAGTCTGTTGTGTCCTTTGTCTGGAAAAAAAAGGTACAACACACAGATTTATTCACTAGTTTAACTACTTAAATTAGCTTAGGCGCTGATTCTGATCCAAAGATACGGCATTTCTTAAATACACAAACCTCTTTTTTCTTGTCCCGTTTGCTCTTCACCTCGTGAAAAGTATCTGAGAAGTTAGTGAAAGAGCATTACCAAAAACGCTTCTGAACAACGATAAGCTCCAACTCCGAGCAATGGGAGCTCATATCACTTTCAAATAGACAATCACATAAACTGGCATCTACTAAAACAAAATGCACAGTTTATACAATCTCACAAAACCCATCATCACGAAACACCATCAACCAAAACTAATATCACAAAACCTTAACAAGAGATGAGCTTAATTCTGTTCTGTAATCAAATGTATGATATCTTACTCATAGGAAGTATGCTTAAATGAGCCTATATGAGCCGGGAAAAGGAAAAATTAACAAAAAGAAAATAATTTTCCTTTCAACTTGTTTTTTTCCCAAGAACAGGTAAGGAATGGCGATTCAACGAAATTAGAAAACATTACTATTTCAAGAAATAAGCGAGAAAAGGTTCAGAGATTCTCTTGCCAACTTCAAACTGCTTCAAGCTGAGGGAACACAGCAAGAGGGCCTCGATAAATTTGAAAAGAATTCAAAACCCTCCACAAAGCCTTTCAAGAGGACAAGAACTAAGCAAAGAACAAACCCTGCTCTCGCTCCTTATCCCTTCGTTTTCTCTCTCATTTTCCTTGCAATCAAACAGCTTCAGAGACAAGAAGCCAGCAAAAAGAACAAAACAGAGAAACGAGAAGAAGACCTTGAGAGAGGAGACGGCTAACGGCTTCGTCGGGGTCCATATCGCACTCGACGAGCATGGCGTAGATCTCTTGGTCAGAGCAGTTGACAACCTCCTTCAAGCCCTGAACTACGTTCCTCGCCATCGCCGGAACACCTAAGTTTATGTTATTTCCCTTCCCGGCTACTCCGCCGCCGTCTCTCCCGCCCATTCTCTCCTCTATTCCTCAATCGGATCGCAAGAAAACCCCCGTAAGATCTGACCGGAGACTCGCCGTTTCACGACTCACTCGAGCTCCACGACCCGATTCCAGACGCAAAAGGACGAACGAACAAAGGATTCTCTTTGTGCGACTTGTGTACTGCGCAGTATCTAAAACTAAAACCCCTCTTTTTCCCTTTGGTCTCTAATAGTAAAGAAAAAAAAAAGATTTATATTTGAAACACAAAAATCTATGTGGAGAGTAAAGTTTCCTCTTTTAATCTCGAGTTTGTTGTCTTGGATTGTTTTTTTTTTTCTGATAAAAAGTATTTGAAATTGAAACGGGACAAAAAACATTTGATCTGTTTTTTAATAATACTTTGAAGATTAATAGGTTTATGAACGGTAATTATTTATTAATTTAATTAGTAATTCAGATTAATTAGGATTCTCTTGGTCGAATAGGAGAGAAAAATACTCGGATTTTGGATAAGATGTTATAATTAGGAAGCTTCCGTGTCTGACGTCTGTAAATTCATAAATTCAGTGCCAAATATAATTTTTTCAGATTTGGTGGCAACAAAGAATGAGAATGAAACTACACGCGCGGGAAAGGGCGCGTGCGGGGGAGAGAATCTTAAGAGCTTTTAGGTGATGAGTAATAATGGAATATTGGATAAGGACGTCACTTGGATGAGGCCTACGCGATTGACAAGCTTGTACTTGCCACGTGGCGGTGGTGAGTGATGGGCCTGGTACTGGTAATGGCCCATTGGGCCTAACCTTGTTCTCCGGAAAAATTGAATTCCCCCCAATTTTATCGCTTATACAAAGTAAACCACTAAATTTTTATTTGTTACAAAAAAGCCCCCTCGGAAAAGTGAAGATATGACAGATCATCACAAAATTAAATGTGTTTTTATCAAATATAATTCTTGCAAAAATACTAGGTAATTCGTGGCTGTGTACTTGGAGTTATATTTTTTACAAATATAGAAAATCAATGAAAAAAAGAAAAATCAAGGAGATGAAACACGCGTCGAAAGGTAGGGGTGAGTAGCTGAGCTGGTTAGTCTGCCACGTGGCAGCTTCCTAGTGGACAAAAACCGCCCACCAAGAGAAGTGATCGCAGCCGTCCATTTCTTCCAGTAAGAGTCGTCGTAAGGCTTCTCCCTCTCTGTCTTGACCGTTCGCGGAAGTTATGTGAGAGAAACCCAGAGAGAAGGAAGGAAAAAAAAAAAAGGCAACTTCCTGCTCCTCAGGTCGGTCTTCTTCTCCAGCACAATCTCTTTCTTTCTTTTTTTTCTTCCGTTTTTTCGTTTGATTTTACGCTTACTGTTTTGTCCGCATCTGGTGCTGTTTGATATCCGATTTCGTCTTTTTTGTGTTTGTGTTTTTTCCTCTTATTTTTGCTGCTTTGCTTGCTAGGATCGCTGAATTTCTTAAAAACCAGCCATTTTCAGCTGGGTTTTCTTGAGTAATTTCCTGGGTTTCTAGGTGTTCTGTTCACTTTGGTTGATTTTGATTCTGGGTTTTGCTTCTCTTCTCGTTCTGCTCTGATGCGCTCATTTTGATATGGTTGTCGTTCGTGTTACGTTACGTTGGAGGATAATCTGTGTTTGTGAAAGAAAATACCTTAGCTCTGTTAGGGTTTCGGTTCGCGTCTTCTGTTAAGTAACTTGGGTTGGATTCGAATTTTGATTTTGATTTTCCTCTGATTCCGTTTTACGCGCGTATTTCAATTGTGTTTCTCTTTTGCTCAACGATAGCTTGCTTTTCTGGTAGGGTTTTTTTTTACGACTTCTGTGTTCGAATTCCACTTTTGGCTGAATTTGATGTTTAATTTTGCTTCCCTGCTTTTTTCTCTGCTTGATTTGTTTACGTCTCCGCCGTTTTGCAAAAAAAAAAGGCCGACTTTTGGAAACAATTAGGGTTTTTCTGAAGGCTCCTGTGTGAAGTTTTGAGTTTGCTACTCCTGATTGGTTGACTTTTGGGTTTGTTTGTCTTCTTGGTTTTTTTGTCTTTTACGAGCCAAATTTCATCCGTTTCTGCTTCGAAAAGGCTAGTCTGGTTGTTCAGCGTCGACAGTTTGTTTAGTTGACCAATCGCATTTTTCGGACAGTTTCATGTTCCCTGTCTTCTGCCGGTAGTCCGAGTTTTACAGGCCGTCTCTGTCGATTGATTTAGTTGTTGCTTTTTCTGTTCCAGCTTAATTTTGAAAACTGGCTTATGACAGGTTGTCTCTGTTTTGCAGCTTTTGCTGTTGGCTCGATCTCAGAAGGTTCTGTTGCACCCAATGTGCACGATCCGAGGTTGCTATTATCCTAGGTACTGTGCAAATGCCATTTTTAGAAATGAAGAGCAAAATAAGCAAGGATTCTTCAAGAGAAAAAAGGGTTCTTGGTGTTTGTAAGAAACCTAATACAATTTCAAAATGTTCGTCATGCTCCGAGTGCAAAATTGTGGTGCAACTAGATGATTCGACCACAGCTACTCATACTTGCCACTGTGGTGAACAGGAGCATTTTGGTAAGGGTGATTCCTTGGATTAAGTACTTCACTCCATTTGTTTTGATGGTATTCTATGGTTGGTTTAGTTCATCTACACATTGTCTGTGTTTTTGGCTCAGTAAAATCTTTTCTGTTTTGTTGCATTGATTGCTGCGGTTATAATGCTTCTTTTGTTTCTTTCTCGTTCTATCCTTTTGTTTTAATGAATGTATCCTCTCTCTGATGTTTCTGTTATTCTCTTCAGGTCTGGATACTTCTGCTCGGGTTCTCGAAACCAATGAACCGGTAGATATGCTTGTTGAAGACACTTTTCACTCTCAGGCATTTGCATCTCCCTATGATGGTTCCAGATCTGCTGAAAAGATGGTAAAACTTTGGTGAACAATGCAGGCTGGGATTTGTATCTCTCTCTCTCTCTCTTTTTGGATCTATGCATGAACAACAATTCCTTATAACAAACTATGTATTCGTGTATGTGCAGGAAATTGCTTGCAATTATGCTTCAAACTCGGAGATAATATTTTCTCATGTTCTAGATGATGAACTGGATTCTCAAACTGATCCGGGTATGCTATCCTCGTATGCTTGGATCAAAATTGGCTTTGATTGGATCCTACGAAAGCTCATTTATGTCTTTTCTCTACTTTTGGTAGGAAATATTGTGCATTGGGAGATGGCGAGGTGGGATGCTGATGAAAGTGGCAGGAAGATTTCCTTTGACAATCAAGCTTGCAATGTTTCAGATCTCTTTATTTCTGATGTGCTTATTGCGAGTTTACCATTCAATGAGAATGGAGCTGGTGATGTTTTCACCGAAATAAGTCCCTTGCCTCGTTACATATTTCCAGAGCCAAATGTTTTGCTTGATGTAGCTGAGCAGTGCATGCTATTACCTTACCTAGAAGATGGATCAGCCAGGACAGATGGGGTCAAGTCAGATGAAGACAGCAGGATTAATGTTGACAACCATGACTTATTTCTGGGGAACATTTGGACAAGTTCATACAACATGGGATCGGAGGTTCATGCTGATGCCGAGCAAGCTGAAGATTTTGATCCGCAACTTTTCATAAAAAATCAACCGGAATTATCCGATGTTGTATTGAATTATTGGCCTGATCTGCAGCCAAGGGATATCCAAAGAAGGAAGGCTGTGACCCTTGTTCTTGATTTGGATGGTATGGACCTTAATTATTGTAACAGTTATTATATTGAATTCTAGTAATTAGAAGTGGACTGAGCCATAATTCTTCGTTTTTGCATGGCTATATGCGCAAACTCCTGAGCATGTTTCTGTATTTTGTTTAGACACCTGCTCTATCTTGCGTTGTATGAAAAGGCATTCATAATGTCTTTAATTTAGTGTAGCTCTTCTGTGTTTCTTCTGCTATCTTTTACTGTTATGCAGAGGAACTTACCGAACTTTATATCTAAAATGCAGAAACCCTGGTCCATTCGTCTCTGGAACCATGCAATGATGCAGACTTTACATTCAGAGTCTTTTTCAATATGCAAGAGAACACAGTATATGTAAAACGGAGGCCTCACCTTTACAGGTTCTTGGAGAGGGTGGTAGAATTGTTTCATGTTGTTATCTTCACGGCTAGCCACAGCATCTATGCCTCACAGCTTCTAGATATATTGGACCCCGATGGAAAGTTCATATCCCAACGCTTTTATCGTGACTCATGCATTCTTTCAGATGGAATTTACACCAAGGATTTAACTGTTTTGGGTCTTGATCTTGCAAAAGTTGCTATAGTTGACAACTGTCCGCAGGTACCGTATTTTGAGACCTTAGAAGTTCATTCGTGAGTTTTATGTGGACCCTTCTTGATATCCTTCTGACCATCAAAACCGTTTCCTTTGTTAATAATTTCAGGTATACAGATTGCAAATAAACAATGGGATCCCTATCAAAAGTTGGTATAATGATCCAACAGATGATGGCCTAATTTCTTTACTTCCCTTCTTAGAGACTCTGGCTGATGCCAATGATGTCCGGCCTATCATTGCCAGGAGATTCGGTAACAAGGAATAAGAAATCCCTTCTTTTCCCTCTATACCTAGAGTGTAGGTTCTGATTTTTTCCCATTGAAATTTTAAGCATTAGTTCCTCAGATTTCTTAGAAAGTTCGTTGGTTAGTTAACCCATAGAATAATCTCCAGTGATTCTAGAGTAAGTAAGCTCTTCTTGCTTACTTTTTTAGAACCTTCTGAATATAAGACCTAGTGTCCTTATCCTATTCTATTTCTTGGTTCTCCTCTGCCAAGATAGATTCTAGGAATGTTGTTCTAACTGTACAGTTGGTGAAGCTGAGATACTGGATGATGTGTATATGAACTATTATGGTGTGAAATCAATTTTGCAGGTTCAGAGCTGCGTTTGCTTCTGTGTTTGGACTTCTCTTATGATGTCAGTTGCTTTACACACCTGATACTCGTTGTTGATTGGCTGGCGTGAAATTTATAGTTAAAAGACTTATTGATCCAAACTGTTCATTAGATCCTTGAGCTATCTGTTATATAACTGAGGAGAAATTGCTAGTAAGACCCTGTCTTGAAAGTTTGATGTTAAAAATGAAAGAAAAAGAACTGTAGGTAGAGTTTGTTTGCCATTGAAGAATACTGAATACGTTTTCTTTTCCTTCTGTACCACTTTCATCTTTTATCTGCTTTTGGAGAGCATTAGCTTCTATGTTTCATATCTTAATGGTTTTGAGCACAGTTGTCCCGTTTGTGTCTGGGCTTTGCGTACATCTGAGGCGGGGAATATGGGTCTTGGTTTGAGGTATAAAGTATGGTCTAACATCATAATTCATGTTGAAGTTTTTCATGATTTTGCATGCCTTATGTGCAGATCATCCAACAAACAATACTTAAATTATACGCTTAAAGGGATGAGAGTGTGAGTAGGTATGTAAAACCATTTTGATTCTATGTACTTGCGTCCTTCATACTATTTATACATACCTCTCGATGCATAGCTATATCCGTACAAGTTCAGTTATGCCTAACAGTCTTCTTTTGCTTTTGGGGGGTTCTGGTTCATCTTCTCCAATATCTTGTTGTCTCCATACCGAGAAATATAATTCTTTAAGTTGAGAGTAACAATCCGAATGACATCAATCACGTTGTCCAAACCCTGTTGTTGTCTGTCTCTTTTCTTCCCATTTGTTTCTTGTAAGGAATGATAACAGGGTTATATCACATACATACATATACACAGATGTGATGTTTATGTTCTCTCCTTCATAAATGGCTTTCATTGTTGCTTTGCTTCTGTTTGTATTGTATCAGTCTCGAGTTCCATGTAATGCCATTACTGGTTTCAAGGTTTTGATTGGTTAATTGCTACATGTTTCTCCGTATATCTGGTGTGTTAGATTTGGTTTTAAGCTTAGTGTCCACTTGTTCTGCAGAGTTATTTGAAGATTAGAATTTAGGATCAGAACTTGTAGCGTAAGAAGCTAAGCTCTATTGTTAGTTGGCTGTGACTCAGTAGTAAGATCATGTCGGTTTTGATACGATCAGCTATATCTGAACTCAGCTAAGTGGTACCAAACATGTCGTGGTACAACTTGAGTGTGAGAGAGATGAGTAGCATAAACAAAAAAAATAAAAGGAAAAACACGATGGGCCAGTTTCACTTACATGTAACAAGGATCTTTAACTGTTCAGACAGTAAACTGGGTTAACTTGTGAATGTAACTCTGCCAAAAAAAACCGACTTGACTCCCCCCCCCCCCCCAAAAAAGGAAAACTATGATCGTGCTCGAAACAAGAATCAAAATAAACCAAACAACCCTCAGAAACAGCAGCCAGAGTCCTAGATGCAAAATCCCCCCCCCCCCCCAAAAAAAAAACCCTTCTTCTATGGCTGCACCCTATGGGAAGTCCATGAAATCCCTACACTAATGTACACTGCAGCTTCACAGTTGATGTTCTTCACCATCTCTGTCCTAAAACCCATATTCTTGAGGGAAAAAAAACATATTTACGCTTATCAGAGGCTGAGGAAGGACATTCACTCAGAATGTTCAGCTCAGCGCTGCTGTCCGTTCTCACTGGAAGCGTCCTTCCTAGCTGCTGCCAGAAAATTGAAACCGTCCGGCTGTGAATGCTCTATGAACATCTGCAAGAAAAAAAAAATACAAAAAAACCTCACTGCGTTATCAAATGTTCCGCAACAGAGATTGGTGATCCAGAATTTACAGCAAGAGAGGGTCATCTTGATGGATTTTTTGAATGTTACCGGGAAGCTGGATTGAGGAGGTGCATCAAAGACAATGGGGCGGAAGTGCTTGTCCTCATTCATCAAGCTTGAGTTCTGGAAATGAGCAACCAGCGCTGCTTTTCCTTGGAGCCTTGCATATGCCAAAGACGCAACCTTTTCACTGTTGAATTTCTCCCACTTCTTTCCGTTAAATGCCTACAAAAGCCACCTCTACGTTTAATCCTCCTCTCTAATAATAAACCCTAGACACGACACTCAAGACGGAACGGGCGAGTGCGTAATACCTCGTAGAGCAGAATGATATGCTTAGGAGATATCATGTTGATAAAAGCATAACCCACATTGCACTTGTTCTGGAAACACAGAAAGAGAAACAAATAAGACGAAGAACTAAAGATTCAAACTAAAAGAAAACCATATCTTTACCTTAAAATCAATCGGTAAATACAGAAAGTCGTAAGTTCCCCTGTTTGTCTCATCGATAGCAGCTAACAGCATCTTCGAGGTATATCTGAGGTCAAAGAAACAATAACTCTTTCAGATTCTCAATTTCAAGCTAAGATATATGTAATAATATAGTGTTCTTACTTATTAGGGATATTTTTTATCATCAAGGTTGTCCGGGTATCTTCTCCGCTAATTATTTTACCCAAGTCAAGCTGAAACTGTTTCTTGCTGTCTAACTGGTTCGTACTGGTCTCAAGCCGGTGGCCCCTCCCATGCTCCAAATCAATGGCTCCAGTTGCAGGCACCCTGGGGTAAGAACTGTTGTTCATATACAACAGATGACTATGTCTAGGAGAAGACATCATCCTGAAACTTGGAGAACCGGTTTCACGTGCGTTCCTTGGAACACTAGTGCTGGAGTTGTTGATGTGGACCCCTCCTGATGTTCCTCCAAAAGGGGCTGGCCCCATGAATGAAGTTTCTGGAGATTTCGGGAAGAACCCAGATGGCGCAGAACCGACATGGTGGTGATGGAAAGAACCATGCTGAGTAGAGTAAGGAAATATGGGCGCTTTTCCATTTGAAGAGAACAGATTACCATGACTTGAAGAAGTCGGCCAGTTAGCCGAAGAACTTGGGCTTCCCCACAGAAACTGTGATCCAGATAATTTTTCTACATGAGCCATGTTCAAGTTTGAAGAACCGACTGAGGAAGTAGCAGTTTCACGATAGAGGCCCATTTCGGGAAAGGCAGAAGCTCCATGACCCGAATTGTAGCTACTTGAAAGCAAATTCTCCAAGTGACCCACCCTTCTTCCTAGCTCGTTGTTCATGGTTGCAGCCTTCGATGGGTTTGATCCTTGAGAATGCTGCAGAAGAGCAGAGAGCCCGGAAAAGCGGCTGGTTGTTGGACTCAAGTGTCCAAATATTGGAGACTTACTGATACTTTGATGAGGACTATGTTTGGCAGGGCTGCTAAGAAAATTTCCTGAAATTTTACAAGTAAACCACCCTTAGGCTTGAGTCAGGAATCAAAAGTAAAGGCAACTTGATTTGTTTATATCTTAATCGGCCTACCGGGAGACAAGCCGGTTAAAGGTGAGTGGAGGTAACCGCATGAATCATCTTGATCAAGTTCTAGATTTACCAACATCGAACTGAAAAAAAGGTAAAGGAATCAGTCCTTAGTCCATTATTCCATTGAATCCATGAGTTATTTGGTTATTTGAGTATACTCACTTTCGGCGAGCACCACCAGGACGACTATGTTCAAGTTTGATGCGTTTTCCGGCAATGTCACTCCTGTTTAGCCCTTTGAGGGCAGCCTCTGCTGATCTAACGTCAAAAAATTCAACAAATTTGTGATGCCTCTTATTCGGTGTTTCCCTGATCTGCTTTGACATAGAAATGACTTACACAAACGTTATCTATACAGAAAGACGAGAGAAAATTCAAAAGGGACAGAAAAGAAGAAACAGACAAATACATCACCTCCTTGACTTCGCCATAGGCCCCGAATATCTTTTCGAGCTCTTCATTTGAAACTGACGGTTCCAAGTTGAAAACCACCAGCGTTCCTTGATTGATATCCTTTTCCGACGGATTATCCTATATAGAGAGACGTTACCATAATAAGAGAATGCAAGAAAAAGTATAAAAGCCATGCACGTTAACGTTGGCATGATATACCGAAAAATTCAAGATATGTTTGGCCAACCACCTTGGGGATCGAGAAATGAATATCGAGTTTTCTCCGTCTCAACGGCTTGTTTTGTAACGCACGCATAGCCGCCCGAGCAGCACGTATATCATAATAAGAAATCATCACAAAACCCCGATGCTTGCAGGCAGTATACAGGGTTCTGATATCCCCATATTGCTGCCAAAACGATATTCAAAGACATAAAATGCTTCATTTTTGTACGTCATTGATTACACGATATAAAAGAAAAAGTTATTTCTTTTGGACAAGCTACCTCAAAAAGATCTCTCAGTTCAGAATCCTCGACATTGCTGTTGATATTCCGAACAAACAGTGTCCTTGAAGGATGTTCGCCATAGGGATGCTCACCGGAAATTGTTCCTGCTCCATTTTGGAAAATGTATTGAGGCAGGCTGTTCTCAAAGGTAGTGTCGGGAAAACCAATTCTAGGGAAACCCTTGTTCAAGCTGTCCTGTGTATCGGTCTCCAATTCCAAACCTCCTCCACTACCGAACACATCATACTCTTCCATATCCTCCAGTGCATTGGATTTGGGCACTCCGCTTAAGTCGAGATCATTCATTATCCCAGCAAAAAGCTCTTCCTCATCGGGAAGCAAGCTTCCAATCAGATGTGAGTCCCCATCATCAAGCAAATTCTCAAGGTCCCCATTTGATTTATTCAAGGCGGAAGCAATGTCATCGACAGCCTTATAATAGTTTCCACCAACAGTTTGGTTTACTGATAGAGCGAAAATTACAATACAATGAGTAGTGATAGCCAAATAAAACAAGTCTATGTATGTATATATGTTCTTCGAAGAAAATATCCAACCATACACATACATCTCTCATGCGAAAGAACCGGGAGTGAACTGGAAAAGAGGGATGCATCGCTTGAGGCATTGAAAGCATCAAACCCGAATGGAGCTCCTCTTGAGATATTCATCGGGAAATTATTACTCGAACCTATAATTCAATCGATTCCACCTATTAGCAAACATGCATATAAAGTTTATTTATTTTTTCATTAGAGAGAATACAATGTGATGAAATTACCTGAAACTGAACTATTGAAAGATGACTTCATTGTGCTGCTCGCCGGTTCAACAGGAAACAAGAAGAACAAAGATACAACACTTTAAGAACAGAGGTAAACTGAAACAAAGGATAACCCAGAAAAACAAAACAAGCAGTTCAAACTCATCAGATGAAAAAGAACACAAGCCGGTGAACATAACAACAGACAGTACGTGATAAAATTCATCTGACATTATATAAATCCATACACTTTAGATGCTTAATATCAAGCTAAACTCCAACTGATCCTCATCATGAAACTAAGCCACCAATCATCTAAAGCCGTATTATATATGAATTTAGGAGCAAAGGGGAAGAGTAAATCCAGTGGTAATCGAAGAAGCAAATCAAAATCTCCCCAATTCGGAGATACGGAGAAAACCCTAAGGATCAAAGTTCTGTTACTTCCTTGGCAAGCATTGCCCACGCTAACACTAATCCGAGTTAAACCCAAAACTTCGTCCCCCTGATAATTTGTATTAAACCCTAAAGAGAACCCCCAAATTTGGATAAATTGCCGTCGAGAGCATCGCAAGGATGGGACTGCACCAAAATCATACACATTTAACGCAGCAAAAGCTGCTTGTAAAGATCTCTCAACAGGGAGTCATATTGACGGGAAAATATCAGGAAATCAAATGGAATTTGAGAATCGATCAAGAAACATCACATGCAAAGCGGGCAAGTAATTTGGAAAATTACGATTGAAAGGACAAAATTACACGGAAGGGCAAAAACCCTAATTTCATCTCGAATAAACTAAACAACGATTAACAACTGTTCCTGAAAAAGGAAAACAAAAACACAGCTTTCACATACTTCACTCATTGGTTTTAGCAGAATCACGCCCATTGTCACGAAAAAGGAGCAAAAAATAAAAGAATCAACTTATAAAAAAACAAAATTTTCAGAGAAAAATAAAAACTTTACGGAGAAAGGGAAGCAGGAGAAGAAAGGGTAAACAAAAAGCATACAGAGAGAACAGTTCTCTTGCAGAACTCTTTGTCCCACGATCATACAAACCTCGATAGACAGAGGAGCTCTGTTTTTCTCTCTGTCTATATATATATATATAAGCAAGTGCACGGAAACGGAAAATAAATTTCTGGGTTTTAGGTATTTTCCCCTGAAAATTAGATTTTTATATCAAAATCTAAATCTGAAAAAAAAAGGAATCTTTATGAGGCTCTAGAGAGAGAAAGCGATTCTCATTGGAGAGAGAGGGAATGATTGAGCGAGAGAGTGGAGAGAAATTCAACTCCATTTAAACCTCTTTTGGGTTCCGACACTATGTAATGGTTGAATAACGTAAATAATTTTTCTTTAGGTTTTAGATATTATTATCTTCACTGAATATTAGAGTTTGTCCATATCCATAGGTGGTACGGAATCAACGATAATTACTTCTTTTCTAAAACAATGGTCAAACATTACATAGAATATGTTTCCCAAATGCAAAATTAAACCACTTTCCCAAAATATAAAAAGCAAAATTAAGGATTATCTGCTTGGAATCTTTGACCTCCGAGATGCGGATTAATTACGAAAACGCCATTATCGGCGGCTCCGTATCATTTTCTCTCTCTCAAATCTTTCGGTCCGCGTTTCTCACGGGGATTTTTGTCGTGCCACGTGAGCAGAGATAAACGCGACCGAGTTCTGTTTATCCAGCTCGGCTTCTGCTTCAGATATCTAAAAAAAGTTATCTTAAAAAATAAATAATAAAATGAATATTCCCGAATTAAATAGCTTTATGGTTAAAAGATAACTTATCCTTATAAACCCATGGTAAAATATCATATTATAATTTACGAAGACGTGGACCAGTGGACCTAGAAATGTATTTATTACCTTTATAGTTGAATATCTTTAAAACTCGTGATTATTTCGGTGTTTCATATGTTTTAGAACTCGTGGATATCTAATTGTACGAAATCACTCCATAGGATTAAAATCTTATCTTTTTAAATCCCTTTGGAAATAATAAATATCCTATTTTTGCTCTTTGTTAACATCGTAACAATTTTCGCTTTTTGTCATAACATCGAGTAAAGATTTAAAATTGGATTTAAAATTTGAAGATGACGCAAATTCAACCAAGCCCAAAAGCCTAAAAGGCCACGAGATTATTGGGCCGTACGGAAACAAATGACAAATGGGCCTAATATTATCATCGTTGTACATTTGAGCCCGTTGCATAAAACAGTCGCACTCTTTTTGTTTGTGGCATCTTAAAATTTGTTCTTTGGTCATTCCAGGAATGGAAGGAAAGAAAAAAGCAACAAAAGAGATTGATAGCTGCTAAAAAGAAGTTATGTGAACTAGAGCAACAGCATGTATTTGACGGGCTTAGGTTTGGAGGGAAATCTCAAAGGAATATGCTTGCTGATCATATCATTTCTGTAAACTCCAAACTGCTTCAGCAAGCTTTGCAAAGTATCGGGATGTCATCAAAGAGGTAAACTTCAGGAACATGTTTCTCATGGTAGCGTCAAGAGAATAAGCTTGTTTTCTCATCTTCTGGTTATTGAGTTTGAAACTAACATTTGATGAATCAGATGGAACACAACTGAGCAAATCAATGAACTGAGAGCTAGGCTGCCGGAAGGTACACTGAATATATCACAAGACTGCCTTAATCCCAACGCGGAGGAAGATAAAGTGGGTGAGAACTTCTGTTTTCTACAACAAGGCTGGAATCTTATCTCTCAAGGAAAAGTCTCTTTGTGTTTGGTTTTCAACAATGGTGAGAATCAACAAAGGGACGGTGAAAATGATGTTACTGATCCTGTCTCGTACCTTTATGAGCTACTTCGTGATGAACAGCAGTTCCTACAGGCTCTTTCCCGTCGCGTAAAGTTTGGATTTTTTGCTTCAAGCTCCCGTCATCTGAAACTACTGAACGAGGAGAGGAGGACATGCTGAGAGCGTCGCTTCTTTGCTCGTCGAGCTCTTTCTCCAACCCTCCGATTTCCCTCGTTAATCCCCAGATTTTCCCGCCCTTTTCCAGTTTTGAACTCTGTCGCTCCGTCGCGGTTCCGTCTCGTGCTCGGTTTCGCTTCAGTCTCGCCCAAAATGGCTGGAACTCGGGTGCCCTTGTTCGTAGCTCTGGTAATTTAGTTTTTTTTTTTGGGTTAGTCATGGATTTTCGTTTATGGGTTATATCTTTCCGGGAGTTTTTCGGTTTCTCTGTTGAATTTATATTGCAGGACGCGAAATGGTGATATTTTTTTCCAGTGAATTTGTTCTACTTGATTCCGTGGAAAAGTTGCATCATTGTTTTTTTTTGGTTTATCAAACTTTTTTTTTGGTTTAAGTTGCATCATTGTTCTTCAGCTTGGTGGAGATGTGTTGCTTTTTAGACGTGGAGAAACATAATATAGACGAACTTAGTTTCTAGAAAGTTGTATCATTTGGATAAACACAGTTTCTTTTAAAAAAGCAAACATGGTTTCCTTCATGATAATCCCAATTTCTCTTCCATGATGCTATGTTTCATTTCAATGTAGAAACTAAGTATAATTATGTGTTTAGTTCTACAGTCCTTTGATTTGATTTCAACTTTGATGAGACTTGGTCTCTATGTTCGTTGATCTTCAGCTATTCCTGAAGTTGTTGAAACCAGCAACAGTGAGTCGGAGTTGGTTGAGGTTGGATTCTTGTCTGGTGTTCATGGGCTCCAAGGGGAGATTTGCGTAAAACCCAGCACTGATTTTCCCGAGTTACGGTTTTCTAAGGTAAAGTGGTTACAGTCTACAGAGGGCTTTTGAAACGTTTTTTTTTTGTCTTCTTTCTTCTTTGAATCAGATTTTTACTGGATGTTTGCTTTGTGCTGAACGATTTTTTATTGCTAGCCTGGTAAAAGATGGTTAAGACAACAAGTCTCAGGACAAGATAAGATTGAAGAAGTTGAATTAGTTGAGGGCAGACCTCATCCCGGACAGAAGAGCTGGATACTGAAGTTTCGAGGGTTTGACTCCGTTGACCAGGTTAGGGTAACTGCAGAAAACATTTGCTACTGTTCCACTGTTTGTAGAAGTGATATAACAAGGAAGGGCTAAAATGCAATTTTTTCACTTGCAAATTCTGGGATGCTCTTCAGGTGAATCAACTCGTTGGTTCAACTCTGCTTGCCAAAGAAGACGACCGTCCTGAGCTGAATGAAGGAGAGTTCTACACACGTGATCTCGTTGGCATGCGGGTTCTTCTTAAGGTACACATGGCTTTTCTCTTAGAGTATATCACGAATTGAAACTTTCTCCGGCCTAAATCAGGCATCTTTTTTTCTGGATAATGTCAAAGAGTATCGCTCTATTTATTTATTTCAGGAGACGGGTCAAGTTGTAGGAAATGTTTCTACTGTTTACGACAATGGGGGATATGATCTTTTGCATGTCATGCTTGATTCATCCATGGATGTAAAAAATGGAAGTGCAGACACAAAATCTTCAGAAGGTAGTGGAACCGGTCGTCTTGTGTGGATACCCTTTGTAGAAGCAATCGTACCTGATGTTGATTTACAAAGACGAGAGATGCACATCACTCCTCCAAAGGGACTCCTAGAGTTGAATATGCGTACTGATGATCGGTCCAAGAAAGAAAGGCGCCAGCTTGTGAGGCATATTCTTGTGCACTCTTCTCGATTAATCGCTACGTACTTCCGCCCTATCCTGCTAATGCTTTGTTTGTGGCATCTTAAAATTTGTTCTTTGGTCATTCCAGGAATGGAAGGAAAGAAAAAAGCAACAAAAGAGATTGATAGCTGCTAAAAAGAAGTTATGTGAACTAGAGCAACAGCATGTATTTGACGGGCTTAGGTTTGGAGGGAAATCTCAAAGGAATATGCTTGCTGATCATATCATTTCTGTAAACTCCAAACTGCTTCAGCAAGCTTTGCAAAGTATCGGGATGTCATCAAAGAGGTAAACTTCAGGAACATGTTTCTCATGGTAGCGTCAAGAGAATAAGCTTGTTTTCTCATCTTCTGGTTATTGAGTTTGAAACTAACATTTGATGAATCAGATGGAACACAACTGAGCAAATCAATGAACTGAGAGCTAGGCTGCCGGAAGGTACACTGAATATATCACAAGACTGCCTTAATCCCAACGCGGAGGAAGATAAAGTGGGTGAGAACTTCTGTTTTCTACAACAAGGCTGGAATCTTATCTCTCAAGGAAAAGTCTCTTTGTGTTTGGTTTTCAACAATGGTGAGAATCAACAAAGGGACGGTGAAAATGATGTTACTGATCCTGTCTCGTACCTTTATGAGCTACTTCGTGATGAACAGCAGTTCCTACAGGTCGGGTGATACAATCATTTACAAACTATGAATTGTTTGTCATTTTGTGATCCTTTTTTTTTTTGAGATATCTCTCTGGATTATGTGCAGGAAGAAGAACGTGCACGTGTGCCACTCATCCTGGTTTGCCCAGAACAATCCATCCAAGCTTTGCAGAAGCTATTCCAGGATAATGATCATTTCGGGTTTGAATCAGAGAAGGTTAGCATGATCAAACTAGTTCAATTAGTAGTTAGTTCGTCATAGATCATATAAGGAAATTTCAGCAACTGGGTTGCCCCATCTGGTTTGGTTCAGATCTGAGTTCAACTCGATTATAACCTATGCTTGCTAACTCCATAGCCAGGAACTATTTGCATCTCTTGTCCTGTGCTCAGTTTTCTCCGGTTTTTGTCGAACTTTTCCAACAAAGTCTAGTTTTTTTCCTCCAGATATGGTTTCTCGGAGAGGAAACCCTTCCAGTTGTCTGTAGCTCACCAGAGGAACCGAAAAAGCACAAGATTCTGATGAAATCTCCCTGGGAAATACTTCAGTCCCCTGTCGGATCTGGTGGAGTCACAAGTATACTTGCTTCACACGGCATCACAGACACACTTTCCAATCTGGGTATCGATTATCTCCAGGTACTGACATGTACTGATCACTGTCCCCTTGATCTACCCAATCTCCATCTATCAACTGTCTGAAAATGGAATATAAAGTTGGGTTCTTTCCGGTTAACCCGTAATTCTCTCAAACGACTACGTTCTTGCAGGTATGCAGTGTTAATGGCAATGCAGGAGAAGCTTTCCATTGCATAAATCCCATGCTTACTGGGTTTGTCAGAGCTAAAGAAGCCGAGCTCGGGATTCAAGTCACGGGAGATTCTGAAATCATAGAAGAAACCTTCAAGATGACATTCTCGGTGAAGTTTCTGAAGAGACTCAAGGGCAAGATTGGGTTCGAAGCCGTTCTTAAGATGAACTCGCATGTGCAGAAGATGGGTAACGACGAGTGGATTGAGTCCGTGCCCTCAGAGCCAAACTCGTTGGAGTTTCGTTCTTCTGTATACAGAGTGCTGGAGGAACGTTCTTCCTCTGGGAAGATTTGTCTGATGGACATCAGAGAGTAAACATGCCACTGCCATTATGCATTGATTCTCTTCTTAAGTGTCCATGGGTAAACCGTGTTTGGAAAGGAAAAAAAAAATCATATATTTGTGTGATATAATGAATATTCATAATCATATTTCACTTGTGCATGTTATTACGTGAGGGAGGGACTGGATCTTACTGGGATACCTGCGCATTGGGCCTATCGAACTAGATTGGGCCTGATTCGAGAAAGCAATTCTCATGCATCGAATCGTACGGTTTATAATCGTCTTAAGACAACTTCAGATTTCAACCGTTGATCTTGCTCACCCACCTCGTATCTTCACAAAATTACAATTTGACCATTACAATTCAAAGCCAACAAGGAAAAACAAAACCCTAGCGCCTTCTTATTTAAAGCCTATCTTAAAACTCTCAAAGCCAGAGCTCGACGGCGGAGGAAGCTCGCGACTCAAATCACCGTAAGATCTCTCTCCCCCTCTCCCTCTCCCTCTCCCTCTCCCACTCCCACTCTGCCTGCGTCAGCAAATTCTTAGTTCTTTTCTGAATCATTGCCATTTCAGCAGGGAGGAGCAGAAATGGCGGTCCCGTTGCTGGACAAGAAGATCGTGAAGAAGAGGGTCAAGAAGTTCAAGAGGCCCCAGAGCGACCGCAAGATCTCCGTCAAGGTATTCACTTGTTACATATATATACAAACACTCATGTGTATCGGCTTCTGCATCGAACTTTCTCTGCATACACATGGAATTCATGTCCCGTTTTTTGCTTCTTTTGTATGAAAAGCTTTGGGTTTTTTTGGACCATCTAGAGTCATCATTTTGACTTCTCTGGATATGATGATGAATTTTGTCGCCCCAGTCTTAGTTGCATCTGTTGGATGCAATATGGTGATTGACATATGGTATCTGATTCAACCCTTTGTATGATTTAGAATATTGCATTATAAATCAAGGTTCTTTGAATTCATCTATTTTTGTTCTCTCTCTGAATTGGTAGGGAATACACTGGGACACGATGATAGTCTCATTGACACCTAGTCTGAGTCAGCTTTTATGCTGCAATGGTGATCAGTGATCGACTATCTGATCGCAACACCCATTTAGGTTTTACACAATTGATTAACAATGACAGTGATGGTTCGTGAAAGCTCCTTCCAATATCTTTGCTTATGGCTTGCTGCCTTGATCCATGACACGCTTCAAAGTTGTTTGAAGGATAGTTACTGATAGAATCTGTTGAAACGGGAAGTCCTTGCACGCATTACCGTAAGGGTAGCTACGGATTGTGTCATGCTCCTTTATTAGATGCTTTTTTATGCCCATGGTATCTGGTGTCCAGAAGTTGTACATGTTTCTGGACACTTCGTTTTTCAGGGCACAGATGAAAATCAAACAGGTCTTGCGACACAGTTAGCTTTATTTCCACGAGCTTACTGTTACGTTATCCCTGCTTACATATCTCATCTAGATTTTTTTTTGCTTTCATTTTCTCTCTTTCATTTCATGATCATGCTATCTTGAGCTGGTAATAATTTATTAGGCAATCCAATCTGTCTTTTATCACATTGTTACGGTCTGAATCCAATTCAGGAGAACTGGAGGAGGCCCAAGGGTATTGATTCTAGGGTTAGAAGAAAGTTCAAGGGATGCACCTTGATGCCCAACATAGGTTATGGATCCGACAAGAAAACCCGTCACTATCTCCCCAATGGCTTCAAGAAATTTGTGGTACACAATGCGAGCGAGCTCGAGTTATTGATGATGCACAACCGGTACTACTACTATAAATTCTATTTGAACTACTAAATGCCACTTATAATTCTATTTTACCAATTATTATTACTGACTGATGGTTTGTTGCCAGGACTTACTGTGCCGAGATTGCTCACAATGTGTCAACGAAGAAGCGTAAGGAGATTGTGGATCGGGCTGCTCAGCTAGACGTTGTCGTCACGAACAGGCTTGCCAGGTTGCGTAGCCAGGAAGACGAATGAAAGGCACACTGCGAATTTGGATCGTATATGTTCTTGTAGTGTTGAAGAGAGTTGTACTTCCCTTCTGTCTTCTACAGTTTTCGTTTTCTTGTTTCTTGGATCAACCGAAGTATTTATGGCATGTGTTTCTTTCTTGTCTTATTTTGTTTATGAAACACAACTTTGCTTCTTTTTTTGTTTGCTTCAGTTGCCCCCGAGTCTGGTAGAATCTATGACATAAATTTGAAATTCGTACTGTACATAAATGCCTGGTTCACTTGCTGTCGGTTTTTACTCTCTTCGTTCTAGACGGTGGATCTATCAGATTCTGCGTTGAACTGAAATATACGGAAGTCTGAATCTGACATCGCAATGTCGAGTGAGACGATGCTCTGTGATCTTAAACTGGACTCTCATTGAGCAGAATCTGTAGATTCTTTACTCATTGACTCTGAAGAAAGTTTTCTTCTTGGCCGGATCCCTGGATTCTGATTCTGTGACGAATCAAAAGGTTTGATATTCAGGAGAGAGAGAGAGAGGATATCAGGTAGAAATGGTTTGGCGCCAAAAATAGGCTTAATTTGATCAGTGGGGATGGTAATCGCTTTAGATTAACGCTGAGAGAGTGAGACATCGGCGACGGAGGACTTGACGAAAGTCGCAAAACACTCGCTTCCGTCGTAGAGATGACAAGTCGCGCCATTTCTCGGAGGTTGTCGGTCTTGCGTTTGAGTAGCCAGGTTTTCCGAGTTCAATCTCACAAGACATTTTCGGCTTCTGTGGATTCAACCCACTCGTGTCGCAAAGCTCTGATTCTTCACCACCTAAGAGACAATCGGATCGACGAAGCTCGAGAGATTCTCAGTCGGGATCCTTCTCCCGATGTGAATCTGTGCACCATGATGATCTCGGCCTACGCCAGAAGCAACAGACTGGTCGACGCGTTGAAAGTGTTCGATCAAATGCCCATGAGAGATGTAGTCTCGTGGAACTCGATGATCAATGGGTGTGTCGAGTGCGGGGCTCTGGATACAGCCATGACACTGTTCGACGAAATGCCCGAGCGGACAGTTGTTTCGTGGACAACGATGGTGAATGGATGTTTCAGGTCTGGTAGGGTTGCAGAGGCAGAGAGATTGTTTCATCAAATGCCAAGGAGAGATACGGCGGCTTGGAATGCAATGATTCATGGGTATTTACAGTTCGGAAAGGTAGACGATGCTTTCAAGTTGTTTACCCTAATTCCCTGCCCAAACGTCGTTTCATGGACTTCAATGATTGGAGGATTAGATCAGAATGGAAATAGCGGAGGAGCACTCGTTTTGTTCAGGAAGATGATGGATTCGCGAGTGAAGCCTACTTCAAGAACGTTTGCTTGTGTGATAACAGCTTGCGCAAATGCTCCTTCATTCCATCTAGGTGTGCAAGTTCATGGTTTTATCGTGAAGTTAGGATTTTTCTTTGAAGAATACGTATCTGCTTCACTTATAACTTTTTATGCAAACTGCAAAAGGGTAGAAGATTCTCGTAAGGTACTCGATGAGAAGGTGCATGTGAATGTTGCTGTCTGGACGGCTTTGTTGTCTGGGTACAGTTTGAACAGAAAGCATGAAGATGCCCTGAGTGTTTTCTCGGTCATGTTGAAAGCTGATATCTTACCGAATCAATCGACCTTCACTAGCACGTTGAACTCTTGCACTGCACTGGAAGCTCTGGATCGTGGGAAAGAGATACATGGAGTTGCTATCAAGCTAGGTCTGGGATCGGATGTTTTTGTGGGTAATTCTCTCGTTGTCATGTACAGCGAATGCGGAAACATGCATGATGCAGCTTCCGCATTTACAGGAGTTTCAGGGAAGAACATCGTGTCATGGAATTCTGCCATTGTTGGATATGCACAGCATGGAAATGGAAGGTGGGCACTGGAGATATTCTGCCGGATGGTACGTCTGAACGTTGAGCCGGATGAAATCACATTCACGGGCTTGCTCTCAGCTTGTAGCCATTGCGGGTATCTAGAGAAAGGGAGGAAGTTGTTTGAATACATGTCGAGGCGAAACCCCGTGGATATTAAGCTTCAACACTACACATGTATGGTGGATATATTGGGTAGATCCGGAAAGTTGAAGGAGGCTGAGGAATTCATCGAAAGCATGCCAGTGAAGCCTAACGAAATGGTATGGCTGGCTTTGCTTGGAGCTTGCAGGATGCACTCTGATATAGACAGAGCCGAGAGAGCAGCAGAAGCCATTTTAGAACTGGAAGCCAATACAAGTGCAGTGTACGTATTGTTGTCAAATATATACGCTTCTGCAAGGAGATGGTCAGATGTATCAAGAATGAGAGGCAAGATGAGGCAAAGCGGGATAAGGAAAAGGCCAGGAAAGAGTTGGGTGGTGATGAAGGGAGAAAAGCACGAGTTTTGCACAGGTGATCGGACCCATCCTATGACCGATAAGATACACGAAAAGATCGAGTTTTTAAGGAGAAAGCTGAGGGAAATGGGGTATGAACCAGACAAGAGATATGCATTACACGATGTGGAGGAAGAACAGAAAGAAGAGATGTTGTGGAATCACAGTGAAAGGCTTGCCATTGCGTTTGGGTTGGTGAGTAGTAGAGTTGAAGGAAGTACGATCACTGTCATGAAAAATCTAAGGGTTTGTGGCGATTGTCATTCCGTGACAAAGCTCATCTCCATTGTCGTTGGACGTGAAATCGTTGTTCGGGACACGACGAGGTTTCACCATTTCAAAGATGGTGTCTGTTCTTGTGGGGATTATTGGTAAAGAGTCGAGACGATTCGTGTATTTATTGGTATTCTCAATACCAAACGGTTCGGACCTTGGAATTCAATTAAACCGAAACTCCATCCATTTTTGACCCGACCCGATACTAATGACCCGCCCGAGTTGATTATTGATAACCGAAATGTAGAATCCATCATCAGTATAAGAAGATGAAGAAGGATTCGACAGTTCATTGTCATCGTTCGATCAGATCTGATATTTTCCTCAGTCTCTAAACTGGTAAGATTTCATCGGAACTCTCCAATTCCTGGAAAAGCCTGGAAAGTTCTCTCTTTTTAGTTTGATAAAGTTGGAGAGAGCAAACGACGATGGATGCTCTAAGAAAGCAAGCCAGTAAGTTGAGGGATCAAGTGGCGAAGCAGCAACAGGTGATTGATTCCTTCCTCACCCATTTTCCTCTTTTCCCATCAACTTTCTAATTTCGGTGCGCAATGGTCTTCGTATAAGATTTCGGGATTTCATTTTCCCTTATATGGATTGGTTTCTGGGTCTAACCGTTCTTGAAATCTGCTCATTTGGATGAATTTTCGCAAGCTTTTCATGGGGTTTTCAGTCCTTTGAAGTATTAGGGTTTCTCCACTTGATGTTCTTGAGAGCTGAATTAATGGTGAGTATACCCTCTTTCGAGTTCGAGTTTTCGAGGATTCCCTGATTCCACGAATAGAAAGGGGGTTTAAGATGCTAAGCGAATGCAATTTCGTCAGAACAAAGATATAATCTTTTTTTTTGTCCTTTCCACAATTTTGTTTACTTTGAAGAGAGGTGATTTAGTTGGAAAGTGATAAATGAAGTTACTAATGATGGAAATCATAGCAATATGTGAAGAAATTTAGATTACCAACTGCAAAAATATGCTTCCTGAATTTTATGATGCATTGTAACTTAGTGGTCCAGATTCTAAGGCGATTTTTGGCATTACTGGATTTGCAGGTCGTTTGCTACTAAAATTTGCGGTTTGTTTACCTGAATGTTGAGTTTTTGTTATTTCCTTGTCGCATTGAAATGATTGAAGCTATATGTTTTGATTAGCGAGTGAATCAGTGATTAATCATGTGTCATGGATATGTTTTAGGCTGTGATAAAGCAATTTGGTGGGACTGGTTACGAGAGTTCAGATGTAATGGTCATTGATGAGGTCGAAATGCAAAGGCATCATCAGCTGGAAAAACTCTACAGGTCTACTCGTTCTGCAAAGGTAAATTTTAAAATATATACATGCAATTGCCCTTAACGTTCTTTGGTGTCCTTGCCCTCTGTGATAGACATGCGTACTTGTTTTGTCCGGTTGTTCCACTGTCTTCAAGCTTTTGGGATTGAAAGGGATTCATTAACTCGTGGGTAAATTACAAAGGGAGCTAATATTATTTCTACTTTCAGGATTTCCAGAGGGAGGTAATTAAAGCAGCAGAGACATTTACAGCCATAGGACTTAAACACATCGAAGCAGGTACTGATGTGTAGTTGCTTTCTGAGGATCAAAACTTGCTTTGTCAGCCTATCTTCCTTACAGTACATCTTTGTTGTTTTATGATCCTTATAATGCCAGGAACCAAGTTATCTGAGGATTGCTGCAAGTATGGGACCGATAACAGTCAGAACATCAACGAGAATATTCTGGCCAAGGCTGCAGCCATATACGGTGATGCTCGGAAGCATGTAGAGAAAGAACAAGAGGACTTCAACAAGCTATTATCGTCACAGGTTTGGCTTGATTATGAGTTTGAATTGTGAAATTAAATTAGTATTCCTGGTTCTCGAATTTCTTCTCTTGTAAAGAGGAATTCAGCTTGTCAGAATTATCGTCATTTATTTCCTACTGGTATAATTCTTGATTGAGAAGATGACAAGACGAAATTTCTGATGTTATGAAGGTGATGGATCCCCTGAGAGCTATGGTTATTGGCACTCCTCTCGAAGATGCCCGTCATCTAGCCCAACGGTACAGCCGAATGAGACAGGAGGCAGAGGCACATGTATGGTTAAAATTCCATTTTCTACTACATTAGCTATATCGAACAAATTCAATTTTTGTTACGTATAGAATATTGAAATCTCTCGAGATAATTGATCAGCTGAATAAACTATTTTTCTATTTGGCTGAAATCTAGGGTTTTAACAACACAATTGACTGTATTCGTTAAAGTTTTATAATGTAAAAATGGCATTCAAAAAACCAAACAGGCAGCCGAGGTCGCCAAAAGACAAGCACGTGTGCGAGAAGCTCCAATCCCAGAAAATGTAGCAAAGCTCCAATTAGCAGAAGCAAAGATGCAAGAATTAAAAGCAAATATGGCAGTTCTTGGTAAAGAAGCTACTGCTGCATTGGCTGCTGTTGAAGCTCAGCAACACAGACTGACTTTCCAAAGGCTTGTGGCTATGGTACGCATATAAGATTTTGTGTTCAACTCAGGTTATTGTTTAACTTATCGATTTATTTACTTCCATTCAATATCTGTAAAGGTCGAAGGAGAAAAAAATTATCACTTGAGAATTGCCGCCATACTCAGTGACGTTGAAGCTGAGGTTAGTAACTCAGTACTCCATCTCTAACGATGGAACTGTTGTCATTGTGAATTTAATGGAAAGATTAAACATACGGTCAACTTCTTCTCCTCTCTTAGATGGTTACCGAGAAACAGAACAAAGAATCTGCTCCTCCAGCAATCCCGACAGAGAGCAGCTCAGAGAAAACGGCGTATTTCATAGCTGAAGTAAGTTGTCTTTTGAACTTCATGTTATAATGAAACACCATCAAAGCTTAATCTCTCGCAGAGATTGAAGAGAAGGAACATAACCCAAGGAACAATTACTGTTTGTCTGCCTTTGCAGGCGTTGCATCCGTTTACTGCTGCTTCGGAGAAAGAGTTGAGCTTGGAAAAGGGAGAGTACATTGTGGTCCGAAAGGTAATCACCACTGAGTCTGGGTCCACATTCCGTTGCCTCTTTGATGATACCAAATGTTGTGGTATGTGAATTATTCTCAGGTGAGCACGACCGGTTGGGCAGAAGGAGAATGCAAGGGCAGAGCCGGTTGGTTTCCTTTGGCTTATATAGAGAAGCGCCAGAGGCTTCCCACCAGCAATTTGACTAGTGAAGTCTATTGATCACTCTTTTTCACTTTCCCAGAAAGCAATCGTCAAAAAAAAAAAACTTCGTGTTCATACTACCATTCTTCTTGTGCATCACACATTCATAACCTTTTTCTTGGAGTTTATTGAAGATTTTTCCTTATTCTTTTTGTGAAATCTGAGTAACCCATATGAGATCTCGTTTTGAATTTAGGTTTTGCTCCCTACTTCTTCGGAGACAAACCCGGAAACTCTCTTGTGGGTTGCAGGAAAAAAAAATGAAGAATCATTCGTCTGGAAATATGTTCTATATATGTTTTCCTTTAGGTCTATCCTCAGTTAGCACTCATATGAAGAGCCACCAGTGAGGCGTAAGCACCATCAGAGACCCTCATGAGCGAATCATGCCGTCCCTTCTCAGCAATCACTCCATTCTTTACAACGGCGATCACATCAGCGTTCTTGATGGTGGTCAGCCGATGAGCCACCACTACGGTGGTCCGGTTCACCATGACCCTGTCAAGCGCGTCCTGGACCACCCGCTCAGACTCTGCGTCCAATGCACTGGTGGCTTCGTCCAGCAGAAGAATCTTCGGGTCCTTGAGAATGGCCCGGGCGATTGCTATCCGCTGCTTCTGGCCTCCCGAGAGCTGGACTCCTCGTTCACCAGCCGATGTGTTGTATCCCTGAGGTAATGAGCTGATGAAGTTATGGGCATTGGCCGCTTGTGCTGCGGCTATGATCTCTTCCTCCGTAGCTCCACCTGTTTTCCCATAGGCGATGTTGTCTCGTATAGTCTCGTTGAACAGAACTGGTTCTTGGCTAACCAAACCCATCTGTTGTCTTAACCAGCTCAGTTTGAAGGTCTGTATCTCGACCTGGTCGAGCAGTACCTTGCCTGAATCCGGATCGTAGAATCTCTCGATCAGGCTTATCACCGTAGACTTCCCGCTTCCGCTCTCTCCAACAAGGGCCACGGTCTGTAAAACACAAAAACAATTAGCCGGCACGCACTGTATTCACAATTCAAAATCGACCGGGATGAGACATACCTTGCCGGAGGGGATAGTCAGGGACAAGTCTCGGAATATCTGGATGTCTGGTCTCGTTGGGTACCTGAAACTGACGTTACAGAATTCGATGTCGCCTTTCACCATCGGTAAAGTCGTCCCCTCGTTCGAACTGGAATCGATCTTCGGCTTACCGTCCAGAATATCGAATATAGAAGCGGCAGAATCCTTGGCTTTGGTCGTGTCCGGTGCCATGGCACTCGTTTGGGACACTCCAATGGCGGTAGTCGTCAATGCAAAGAACACCTACAGTTGCTTGGAACACAAGTCACCTAAACTGAACACTCTCGGATGAAAGAACAAAACAAAAACACAGAGTATTTCCCACTAACCCTGAAGACTTCACCGAAAGTGGCCCTCCCATGTTGAACCAGAACCGAGCCGATGTAGAAGCAGAAGGCGTTGATACAGTAGAGCGCCAAGAAAGAGAACCCGTAACCGGAACCGCTCACGAGCCCTAACCGGACACCATGCTTCTTCGGTCCTTCGCATTTCTTCTGGTAAAGGTCCATCACTTTACCCTCTGAGCAGAAAGAAGCCACCGTCCTTATACTGCTCACTGCATCGTTCGCCACCTGACTCGCCTCTTCGTACATCACCTTCGCATCTGCGCTGAATCCAGTTAGGAACTTCATCTGGAAATAACCTTGGAGGATCATCAGAGGCGAGACGGCTAGAACTGTGAAGGCTAATATCCAGTTAGCTGTAAAGGCTATGAATAGGCCAGCGATTATCGTCGCTACGTTCTGCACTATCAACGCCAACGTATCCCCCACCAGACTCCTCACCGTGGAAGCATCCGTCGACAATCTCGCCCCGATCGCCCCACTGACCAGAATGCCAAGAAAACAGAATCCGATATAAGACGCTTGAAGGATAAAAGATTCGTACAAGTAAATCAGGATTGTTTTTGACATACCTCGAATTTGCGGGATCGTCGAACCAACTGATCTCTTGATGCACGACTTTATCGAACGACAATGAACGGATACGTTTGATCAATTTTCCACCAGCCACGCCAAAGAAATAGTTCTGGATCGGGATAGCGATCAAGTTCATTATCCCGAGGACAATGTATATGAGCGTCCAGAAGCGTGAGTCCTTCTTTAACTCTCTTGGGGGCTCGAAGAACATCGTGATAGAGCTCGAGAGCAGCAAACCAAAGATCGGGAACACTACACCGTGAACCGCTGCCGCGACCGAACCTAGCAACAGAACCGGAATCTCCGGTTTGTTAAGGTAAGCGAGCCTTTTCAGGGACACTTTCTTGCGACGTTTGACGGCGGTTTCTTGGGGAGAGCCGGTTTCATCATCTTGATGAAGATCGGTTAACCGGTACATGTTAATCAATTCTGGAATTCCATTGGATGTGCGGGTGAAGGAACGACGACCGCTGGAAAAGCTCCTGCTAACCGATCTTCTAAACGATGAATGTTTCTGGTTTCCGGTTTGGCTAATCGATCTCTCACTGTCGAAGCTCATTTCTGGTTTCTTTGAGGAATGGTCGTCTTCTTCCTTGGCTCCTTCTTGAAGGCGGACAAGCTGAGTATACGCTCCCTCTGGATCTCGGATAAGATCCTCATGAGTTCCTGCATACGATCCTCATATCCAGTGAGTCAAAAACGCTTCTATCCGAAGATGATCCTCATGAGTTCCTGTACAAGTAACCTATGGTTGAAAAGGTATAAAGGGTTTACCTTTCTCGACGATTTTGCCCTGGTGGACGACCGCGATCATATCAGCGGATCTGATGGTTGTGAGTCGGTGAGCCACCACGACGGTGGTTCTGCTCGTCATGACGTTAGCCAACGCGTCCTGAACCACGCGCTCGGATTCCGCATCCAAAGCGCTGGTCGCTTCGTCCAGTAGTAGGATTTTAGGGTTCTTCAGAATGGCCCTTGCGATTGCAATCCTCTGCTTCTGCCCTCCCGATAGCTGCGTCCCATGCTCTCCAACCATCGTGTCCAGCCCCTGAAATTGTCAGAGAGGAAACCCGGTTAGTAGAATTGAATGTTATTTCTGTAAAAAAGATTTTCAGTTTCTGCTCAATTACATTAGGGAGCTTGTCGATGAATTTGGCAGCGTTAGCGAGCTCGACTGATGTTCGAATCTCATTCTCCGTTGCGTTTTCCTTGCCGTATGCAATGTTCTCTCTGATCGTCGTTGCGAAAAGTATCGGTTCTTGACTAACCAAACCGATCATGCTTCTCATCCAACTCAGCTGAAGATTCTTCAAGTTCACGCCATCGATCATCACTTCCCCTGCTTCTGGATCGTAGAACCTCTCAATCAGACTGATCACCGTCGATTTCCCGCTCCCGCTCTGACCCACCAGAGCTGCAGTTGTCCCGCTCGGGACGAACAGCGAGAATCCCGAGAATATCTGAACATCCGGCCTCGCTGGGTACCTAAAGTGGACATCTTTCAGCTCGATGTCGCCTCTGATCTCCTCCAATACAACCCCATTCTTGTCGTAAGGGTCGATTGTCGGCTTTCTCTTGATCGTCTCGAACATTTTGTAGGCCGCAGCTTGACCTGCCGCGAATGCGTTCATGCATGGCGATGTCTGCCCCAACGACCTGCAAAATCCAGAAATCAGAACGAGGAATTGCATCGTCTGGCGAAGAGACATATAATATAGACATATAGGCACATATACTGACATTCCTCCGGTCATGACGGCGAAAATCACGTTCATGACTTGGCCACCATTGTACCCTCTGTCCAAAATCAGCCTGGCACCGTACCAGACCGCTAAAGCATAGCTGCAGAAGATCACGGTGAGCATAGTGCCGAGGCCTAGACCAGAGATCAGACCTTGTTGAACGGTGGTCTTGTACGCGATCATCAGCTTGCTTTCGTACTTATCCGCGGCCTTTTTCTCTCCCGTGAATGCGACAACCTGACAAAATCGCAGAAACATATGGGCCCTTTTCTGTATTCCGGCCAATTGATTTCTCAGACGAGATGATGAAGTTAACTCACCGTTCTGATGGCTCCGACAGTCTGTTCAACCACGGTTCCAGCTTCTGCGTAAGCGAGTTGGCCTCGACCAGCCATTTTCGACATGATCAGGGCCATTGTTCCTCCTGCGGCCACAAGTAGAGGAATGCACGCAAGGAGAACGACAGTTAATCTCCATCCCTTTACAAAAGCGATGGCGAATCCTCCAATGAACGTTGAGATAAGCTGTATGAACTTCCCGACCTGCAGGACAAAGACCCGTGGCCTGTGAGTAACTTAGGATGCAAGAAAACGTATACCAAAAAGATTTCTGCAACTCCAGCAGTAAGACAGAAAGCTGATAATCATTTTTCAGTGACTTGAGGTTGAAGAAAGGGAAATGAATGATTGGAAGAACCTTCTCTCCCATGGCGTCCTGGATGAGAATGGTGTCTCCAGACATTCTGCCGATGACTTCGCCTGTGTTTGTCTCTGTGTCAAAGAAGGCAATGTCTTGTCTTAGTATCGTTTTGAGGTACAGACCGCGAAGCCTGGCGGACTGACGCTCCCCTGTCACCATCCAGCACGAAACCTCTGCAGAATCAAAAAACCAAAAAAGAGTTAACTTGTATCGCACGTTAGGTTTAGGATGAACCCTTAAAAAACCAAGCTGAGCTTACGGAGGAAGGAGACGACGCAAGAGTAGAACGCAAGGTACAGAAACTTCACAGCCACCTGAAAGAGAGGGGAAAAAAAGGTTTCCATTGAAGCATTAACATCAAGATCCAATAATAGATATCTTATATTACTGCAAATATCCATATTGTATATATACGTTTCTCTGTTTGTAGGCGTTATCTTATCTTTCAAGAAAAGTTAAAAGTAAAGAATAAGTAGTAATTAAACAGATTTAAATTAATCTTGAGAGCATTAATGTAATGTATATTTTGTCTAATGATTCTCTCCATGATTAAAGCATCTTTTATTGTGATCACACTGTTAATTTTCACGTAATCACTAACCTTTCCGTCATTAGCAAAACACAATGTCCTACCTCATCACTTTTTATAAATTCACGTCTGGATACATTGCTCCTAAACAGACAGAATCTACCGATTCAATCGTCGATATAAGATGGGAATTTCGTATATATGTTCATGTGATTCTACACACAAAGAAGCAAGAAAACGAAGCACATGATATATATATATATATATATATATACACACTAATCAATACATATAGTTATAATTAATATGTTTTTAAAAGGAAAAATAAAAAATAAAAAGGAGAGATTTCAGAGAATATGGTGATAGTAAATACTATAAAAGGCTAGATAATCACTGAATGAGGAGATAATTAAGGATGATAATCGTAACAGAAATTCACAATAAAGAAGAGCAAGAAGAACCCTAATGAACCTTAGAGACTTGGCGGACGAAGTCGTGGTGGGGATCGGAGGAGGCGAAGGAATTGATGAGCTGGCCGAAGATGAGAGTCATCATCGGCTGAGTGAAGCCGTTTCCCACGGCGGCGATGCTCCCCACCATCATCAACGCCACGTCGTCTCTGTCTGCGAACGCGAACAGCCTATAGAACGGCACTCTCTCATCTTCCCCCTTCTTCGCCCTTCTTGTTTCTCTCTCCTCGTTTTCCATCGTATGGCTTTTTTTCTCTCTGTAAACCAGGAGGGATCTCTTTGTTTGGTGTGTGTGTGTATATATATGGGGAGAAAGATGGGAACTTTGACCCGTGCTCTTCAAGAAAAAAAAAAATAAATCTCCAGAAGGGATTCTACAATTAGATTGAGGCGAAAATAGTGAGATTCTTGTGAGCTTAGAGAGAGAGAGACGCAACGGTATCGAGAAAAGAAAGCAGCGCTGTTTTGAACACAGCTTCCATCCCTCTGCCTTTATATAAATTTTAACATTAATAATAATAATGATGATGATGATGATGACGATGATGATGATGATGATGATGATGATGATGATGATGATGATGATGATGATAAATATTTTTTACATAAAATTCTTAAAAACATCGGGATGAATAATGATATATCAAATTAAAATATTTTACATTAAAACCAAAAACTTCTCTTTAATACAGTCTTCGTCCTCGGTTTGAATGGAAAATCAAATATACAGTCTTCGTAACTCCACAGACATGCACACGCCCATGTATATAATCATTTTTTCGTCCATTTTCCTTTTTTATTATGTATTTTTTTTATAAACAAAATCCATTTATTTGGTGTCCACTTTTAATCCAACTCATTTCGGTTAGATATTTACCCTTTTTACTTTAACCAATTCATTATGTTTTCTTCTATTTTTAAAAATTATTTTTATTTTTTGTTTGTCGGGGTTAAAGCAAATGAATGTCTCAAAATTAACTAATTTGACTAATGTATAAAAAGTTACAATTTGCTGGATATTTATATTTTTAGATATGTCATTGAAAAACTATGGATATTAAAAATAAAACATATATATATATATATATTACAAATATGACAGAACATAAATTAAAAAACTATTTATTATAATTATCAAAAATTTTATTGTACATAATATACTGTAAATTGCATAAATTTATGTTTTTAACTCTTTCCACTTACTTATATAAATTAATTTATCAATTTATTAGAAAATATTAATTTAATTATATTAGTTTATTAATCTCTTTAATGCAATAGTTTTATTAGTAAAACATTTTTAATTTTATTGTAGAATTAGACTATAAAATTAATGTTCGTAGTTAACATTAATTTGAAAGTTTTATTCTTAATTTTACAAATATATCGAAAATTCAAATTAGATATTTTGGGCTTTAAAATCTAAGTACATATATACACACACACACAAATACATATATTATACTTATTATACCACTAATATTACACGCCAAAGATATGGAAGAAGAAGAAAATATAAAAAAAATGATAAAAATGAGAAACTATTTAAAAATGGATGCAACGAATTTCATCCATAAAGGATTTTTCAGAGAACATCGCCTTAATTATTTCCTCCTTTCTTTGTTGTTTGCATCCAAGAAGTGTGACTAAACTAAATTTATCTTTTTTCACAAATGAAATAAATTTGTTATTAATATGAAAAAATATCATACATTTCATAGAAGCATATATAATATATATAGGGTATCTATGACTAAGATCTCAGCTCTTTATGTTTATGCAGCCTTGTTGCATTAATTATATCTTCATTTGGCAATATGCCTAACATATTGGAAACCAACATTTTATTATTTTAACCAACAAACATATACCTTTTTTTAGAAGTGCTTTACCACAATATATGCATGAAATATTAATCGAGTTTTGACAGACGTATTATATGAAGAATTAATTTCATATTAAAAGATATTTGGAACCCACAATCTATACCTTTTCAAATGTATTTTCTATTCTTGGGAAAAAAATTCACATAAATCTTGGCTCTTTTGTGTTAATTTAACTCCAAAATAATTGTTATGCAGCCAAAGAACAGAAAAATAAGCATGTTGATCAAGACCATAAAGCAAATAATACAATTAATTAACCTCACTCGTATATGTATAATTATAAGTTGTACTTATGGGTTATGAAAATGAAAATTCTGTCAATTATGGGTTGTGGGCATAAAATTTTTCAGTTTTTTCAGTTTTTGTAATGACTTTTACACTATATATATATATATATGTATATATATTATTATATGTAAAGAGAGAAGATAAAAGAGAGACCTTGATTCTAACATTTTGTAGAATGGGAAGAGAAACAAATGACACATTAACCTCGTGGAATAGCAATCACTTTTATTCACACTTTTTTCAATAATTTTGAAGCGATAGTTTGTCGTTTGGGAAAATGAAATATATATATTTGGGATTGAAATTATTTATAATATTTTGCAATATATAGCAATTTAAGAGAAATATACATACCGGAATTGCGTTCGGTGCACTTGGATAATCAATTGACAACGAAAACGAATAATAACACAGAAGAAATCAATAAGATTAGAATCGAAACAGGAATTCTTAGTATTTTCAAATTTGTTGAATATAATTTTCATATTATTATTTTTTGTACCACCATTTTTTTAATTCTCTATTTCTATTATTCGAATGAATTGTTAAAGTGCTAGATATACTTTTTGAATTAAGACCAAATTGGTCATAGTATTGAATTCCATCCATGATTTTTATATCATGCAATGTTTTACAAAAGGTAAACAGTAATGAAGATTTATTTTTTCAAACAAAAAGGAAGAAAAGATGGCATAAGCAAACAATAAAAAGGCTATGCTTGAATTTTAGAAAAGAATAACTTTACTATACACATATTTTTCATTGTATTCTATGCTTTTTAATTTAATAAAAAAAAATTATCAATGGACTACTTGGGTCGGCACATAAAGAATGCGACACATGAGATGGAATGGTACCAGATTCATTCTCTCCTCAGCCAAATAAAGCCTCAATAATAAACAATGCTTGGTCCCTCTTACTCCTTTTTTTAATCCTCAATGTATACTATACTTTATATATAATTAATTAATTAATGATACCAATATTAACTCTCAAATTATAAATATATATTTTGCGTGGTGAGCTTTGGGCCTGCAGCCGATTTCAGAGACTGCTTTTGGATATTATGGGCCTCAGAGAACTTAAGAACTGCGGCCCATAACGATACTAATTTGTAACGAATATTTTTTAAAAAAACATGATAAAATATGGTTTTCCACCAAGAAACGAGAGATTGGAGTTCTATATTTAAAAATATCTATTACAGAAACATAATATTTCTCATAAAGGTATTGATTCCGATAATTTAAATTAAATATTCGAATATAACAAGATATATAGAGTTAAGGTAGAGATATTTTCAACAAAAATTGTTATTGTTGAGAAAAAAAATGGGAATGAAGTAAAATGAAAGGTTGATGACACGAGAGGACAAAAACTACATGAAACGACAGCGTATTGATCTTAACCCTATAAAAAGTCGAGAGAGGCCGATGAAGAGGGACGCTGAAGCTATGGCGGTCGAAGACGTTCACAAATCTGTCGTGAACGACGAAGCAAACCCTAACAATTCGCAGAACCCGATGGATCAATCCAATGAGGAAGTTGACGAGACGGAGGAGGGAGAGATCGTAGGTGGCGACGAAGATGGGGAAGGTGATGGATCGATCAAATCGGCGGCCGCGGCTCCTCAGCCACACCCTCTTGAGCATTCGTGGTCTTTCTGGTTCGATAATCCCTCTGTGAAATCGAAGCAGGCCACCTGGGGAAGCTCCATGCGCTCCGTTTACACCTTGTCCACTGTCGAGGAGTTCTGGAGGTGAAATTTCCGTTTCGATCTCTCTTTCTCGCTCTCTCTTTTTTTTTTTTTTAAATACCTCTTTTTGTTTCGGCGTAGATCTTTTAGTTGACTGCTGAATTTGGAGTGTTTTGGTATCTGTTTTGGATTGAATTTTAATTGTGTTGTATATGTCCTGAGGCGTGTTTGCATAGGGTTAATTCTAGCTACTGGTTAGATTTCTGTGTTAGAGGGCAAGGAAAGGCTAGCGATTCTACCGTGTGTTGAGATTTGCTACGCCTTTGTTCGTATGCGTATTACAATGTGGCATTGTATACGAAAAAAATCGAACTTGAACTGGTAGCAGAGCATAACATGATTTTGGTTAACCTAATTTCGTTCTCCTGTGTGAAAAATTAATCAATTTTTTCCCTAGATACCTGCTTGCCGATCATTACGATTCATAGATAGTATTTGTTTGATGGTAAGCTTGATGTTGTTTCTGCTTTTAGTGAGGGCCAATGTAGGTAATCTATTAAACAGACGTTTTCACATGTTTGCTTTGCAATCCGGCATGGTAGCTGAGACACACTAACTCATGCCTTTTTTATTATATTGTATAACCTAAACATAGAATTTCCTCTCTTGGATGTGAGAAGGTTAGTTGAAGATAACTATGAAAATTGGTAAGTGTTGTTTGTTCCCCCCCCCCCCCCC